CAGGTCTCATTGCTGCATCTCTTTCCCTATTTATTGTCATTCAGATAAGAATCTTCCTTCCTGTTTTTATTACCAAAGTGCATAACCTTACATTTATCCACATTATACTCAATCTGTCACATATTTGCACACTTACTCCAAATTGCACTGCAGCTTCTCTGGATCCTCCTCACAGCATAGCCTCCTACCCAGGTTTGTGTCATCTGAAAACCTGGAAATAATGACACCTAGTTTTCTCAGCTAGCTCAATGTATATTGTGAATAGCTAGGGTCTACTGATCCCTGCAGTACACCACTAGTCACTTTCACCTTAATAAGCAGAAAATTGCAGTCTACACCAACCTTCTAAAGAGCATCCCACCCAGACCCAACCACCCTATCCCTGTAACCCTGCATTTCCCGTGGCTAATGCACCTAACCTACACATCCCTGAACACTATGGGTAATTTGGCGTGGCCAGTCCACCTAACTTGCACATCTTTGGACTGCGAGACAAAACCAGAGCACCCAGCAGAAATCCACGCAGACATGGGGAGAATGTGCAAACTCCACACAGACAGTCGCCCGAGACCATTGGGCTGTGAAACAGCAGTGCTAACCACTGAGCCACCATGCCACCCCTTTCTGGTTCAGCAAGGTTGATACACTGCTGTCTGTGAAGCGATGTTCATTCTTCATTTGATATTTGATTTGGTGGACCTATGTCTTTTATACTAAAATTCTTTCTTTTAAGTTTTCTTGATTTTATTTCCTTTCCAATCCTACTGCGAGAAGGGGAAAGAGATGTTTTCAGTTCGTTGGCTCTGGAGGTCTCTGGCTACTCTGATTTTACTTGACCAATATGAAGGTTGTCGCCAGGCTGATTTTCCCTAACTCAAAAATTCCTTGTGCCACACAGATTGAATAATGTATCAAACTCATTGCTCCAACTGCAAAATTCTCTTGCACAGCCAAAAATGTACACCACTTAATTTTTCTACATTGCAAAACTCTCCTAATATTTCAGCTATATTGTGGTCCAACTTCCATTTGAGTTTACAGTGCAAAAGGGAAAAATATACAGTTCCTTACAATAGAGAAAATATTGAAAAAGGTCAGCCAGTCATGCAACACCTGCCACATCACCTTTCTTAACTGCTCTGTTTACCAGCATTTTCAGATTTTATTCATTCCATCGCTACAATATTGGTCTTCTATCAGTGTCTCATCTGCCACTGACACGGAAACCTTTGTCCATGTTTTCATTACCCTTAAGACATAATTCTGTAACGTCCCCATCAACAATCTCCTGAGGTCCATCTTAGTGAGCTCTTTCCACATCATGTTATTTAGGTTTAAATAGAACTGCTAATAATTATCCAGCATCTCACATGTCAAAGGGATTCCTGCCTCGGGGTGGCGTTTTATCTCGAGCGATAAATAAAAATTGCTATTTTTGTCCTTACCTGACACCAATATGTGCATTTTCTAACTGATATTTATCTCTCTCCAGCCTAAGAATGCTGAAATCAAGTGTAGAATAGTCATGATCTCCAGGGTTCAAATCCCACCTGCTCTGGAGGTGTGTAATAACATCTCTGAATAGCTTAATTAAAATATCTGTAATGACCAATTTAACACATACCTTAGTGGCTTGTATGATAGTACAGCATTTATCCACTAAGCCTTGTGGGGAAGGCTATATCTAATTTAATGATGATACTGTTATTGTTGGCCAGGGGAACGATTACAGTTTGCAATATCAAATGTTAATTGTTCCAAATTTCGGTTTCAGCAAATTCATTTGGACATTAATTCTGCCACATGCAACAGTGAATAACAAATATGAGATCAATAACAAATCTATTTTCTAAATGGAACTGTACTTTTGAAATTAAGACAAACCAGAATTATTTATCTATAGCATGATGTAATATTAGTCAGGGCCATATGCCCGAAGCATCTTATTTTCAGTGAAAATTTCCAGCTCAATCTTTAAAGCATGGTTATTACATAAACATGGTATAAACGAAACCCGTTCTTTTGTAATATGAAAATTCTCGCTTGATATTAACTTACCAAATGCAGGCTTGTACTGTAAATAGCTTTTATGAATGTTATTGCAATTCCACCCCCAAGTTAGTTCTGCACAACAATGTCAACAATTGCCAACTTAATAACATTAAGGAAGTTTCTATTTCTCATCACTGGCAGATTCAAATTTAAAAGTACAATTCTTTTAATATAATACTTGATTTCTCTTCAGAAACAAGTTTTGTTAAAAACAGGCATAAACGTCGGTCCATTACATTGCCTTTTCTGTACTGTGTCAGTACGCAAACCCCTTGTGACAATCACACTCAAATGGAGCCAACCCCTAATCTCCAAGTAATAGAGCTACATTTTATTTCAGGGATGTGTGAATGGTTCCTGCTACTTTGTGGACTTTTTATGTGATTTTGAAGTGGAACCTATTTAGAGCCATATTTTGGCACGCAGATCTGGAAAATGCATGAACAGACAAGCAATTGTCTTTCCTCTTGAGCAATGAGATTGAAAAATCTTTAATGCAGAATACAGGAGGTGTCAGTTGGAAATTGAATTCACTACCAAATCAAATACAGAAAGTCAAGAAAAGAGAAGGAAATACGGGTGACGTTATTTATGAACAGAAAGAGGGGGATAATGTAAAAACTTTTCAAACCTCCAATAACAGTCAAAATCTTAAGAATTGAGTCTACACACTTGTAATGCATATTTTTTAGCATCAAAATGGTTGTCTGACAGAAATTAAGATTTCCATGCACTAAAAGTTCCTACGCAGGATTTTATGAACTGTTTAGTCAGCAGCTATTCCAAGGTACCACTGTTTCAAAAACTTGCATAGAGTCATAGAGATGTGCAGCACGGAAACAGACCCTTCGGTCCAACTTGTCCACGCCGACCAGACTTTCTAAATTAATTTAGTCCCATTTACCAGCTTTTGGCCCATATCCCTTTCAAACCTAGTCATATATCCATCCAGATGCATTTTAAATGTTGTAATTGTAGCAGCCTCCACCACTTCCTCTGGCAGCTCATTGCATACACATACCACCTTCTCCATGGATAAGTTGCCCCTTAGGTCCCCTTCAAGTCTTTCCCCTGTCATCTTAAAACTATGCCCTCTCGTTTTGGACATCCCCACCCCAGGGAAAAGACCGAATCCTATTTACCCTATTCATGCCCCTCGTGATTTTATAAACCTCTATAAGGTCATCCCTCTACCTCCGATGCTCCAGGGAAAATAGCCTCAGCCCATTCAGCCTCACCCTTTAGCTCAAATCCTCCAACCGTGGCAACATCCTTGTAAATCTTTTCTGAATCCTTTCAAGTTTCACAACATCGTTCCTGTAGCAGGAGACCAGAACTGCACACCAACTACATGTTGAATCTCTCGCACACCATTTGAAGATTAGGGAACCCAGGCATCAACTTCTGGATCTCTATATTTAATCAGGCATATGTGGTCTGGAGAAGTAACTGTCCCGTTTACACTGAAATAATGCTGAATTTGTTATTCCTTCGACAAAGCGACAGTGACTCAGTGGTTAGCACTGCTGCCTCAGTGTCAGGGACCCGGGTTTGATTCCAGCCTCGGACGACTGTTTGTGTAGAGTTTGCACGTTCTCCCCATGTCTGCGTGGGTTTCTTCCCACAGTCCAAAGATGTGCAGGTCTAATGGATTGGCTGTGCTAAATTGCCATGGTGTCCAGGGATGTGTAGGCTAGGGGGATTAGCTACGGGGAATGCAGGGTTACAGAGTTATGGTATGGGGTGGGTGCAGGTGGGATTCTCTTCAGAGGGTGGTGTGGACTCAATGGGCCAAATGGCCTGCTTCCACACTGTAGGGATTCTATGATTCTAAAATCTGCCCCCTTTAATGTTTTTCTCATAATCCTCTTCCCTGAAATATTTTGTGTCATCCTCTGATTTTTAACCCTTTCCTCATCTCTTCCTCCCTCCCATTCTTCTTTCTTACCCTTCTCCTTCAACTCCCTTTCACATTCCAATACTTCTACTCAATCCCTTCCCTCATCCACCATCCTCCCTCATCATTTCTCCCTCTAGCATCCTGATCCTCTGATCACCTTGCCTGATGTCATGCGTCTTAGGAGGTTATTAAATAAATCATTGAAAATATTCACGGGAACACAAAACAAAATTGACCACGCACAGAAATTTCTCAGATCCACTCTTATTACAATATCTTGCTACAAATGTGGCAGAAACTCCATTTTGGTACATATAGACTACAGGGTTTCCAACTTATATCCTGCAAACCAATACTTGTCAGGTAGGAGCAGATCGGAGGAATTTTCTTCAAAATATGTAAAGTAAGATAATTTTTTAATGAGAAGATTATGTTGAGAAAGGGAAGTGACACTATTTTCAACACTAAGTTTCTAATTAGAACAACTTTTATTGATACTGGTACGTAACATTTTATTACAAACTTAGTAATTAAGAACAATCATTAGGAAATGCAAAATTCTATTTTGTATTGTTATGGAAAAAGAAACTTTGAATTGTAAAATACTATGTATTAAATTTGTTTATGCTGTTGAATTAACTTCAACAAGAAGATGCTAAGATTTGCAGTTATGACCACACGAATGATGACATATACCGCTCAAATAATTGTAGAATTGCACCAATATATTCTGAATTCAAGTGAATCACCCCAAAAAGTCCCTGCAGTGACATTTGCTGATACCTATATCTAATACATTATTCTTGGTACACAAAAATATGACATTTGGAATATAACTGAGCAGAACTTGACAAAATAATCAACTGCTTATGTCAAAGGTATATGTCTTGGCATTTGTGAAAGTATAGCAGTAGCTAAAATTACTTGTGATTTTTTGAAAAGACAAGTTAGGTTGAAGGGACAGTTTTTAGATTATGACATGAAAAGGTAATTTAACTTCGAGAGACCATTATCATTCAAAATAAAGAGGTTTATTGCAAATGCTAGGGGGTTTCTATATTGGTGACATTTATAAAAACAAAACCATAAGTCAGAAATTCATTTTATAATGAAAAAAAGACACATTTTCTTCACAATTGGTAATCTGAGAAGGAAATAGCATTCTCAGGATTTGCATGGATCAAATCATTTCATTAATACCATTAACTATGGGAAAAGCAGATTTCCTCCCATTCTCATTAGAAAAGGATTTTCAGAACCTTCCTGGATGTTATGATTTCAAGTATTAAGACATTCTAATTTTTAATTTAACTACTTATTCTTCAATTTTAGTCTGTTCTCATTTACCTTTATTTATCTTTTACTAATCTGTCCTATCTTCTGTTGCGATTTATTTCACCATTTTCCTTTCAATTCCTTCTTGTTTCTTTTCTTTTCCCTTTTTTTATCCTGTCTCATATTTTCCCTCCAGCATCCAAAGTACAAGTTATTCATTGTATTGTATTACTTTTCCATTTTTCTGCTGTTTGCTTTCAGTCTCATTTTCACATAGAAAGATCAAAGAAATGAGGAATACTGAAATAAAGGGAGGAAGTCAGTCATGAATATGAAACTATAAAAGAGAGAGAAAATCAAAGAAAATGAAAAAAGGAAAGGAAAACCAAATGAGGAGAAAGCAGAACAGTTAGAAGGCAACAAAACCTTAGAGTGCATGAGGAGGCCATTCAGCGCTGTGCTGGCTTTTGGCAACAGCACTCCAAAATTAATTTCTCTGCCTTACCACTTTTCCATAGCTCTGTACCTTCCTCTGCTTAAAGTCTTTATCTACTTTTCTGTTAGAAGATGGAATTATGTTTGCTACAAATACTTACTGCAGCAAAATATAATATCTCCCAACAATTCTTTACATAAATAAATTTCTCTGAACCTGTTTGGTTGTGATAATGTTGAATTGATGGCATAGCTAATTGATTCCCGAGCAGGCCAGGGTTTGAAAAATAAAAGGAGCAAATTACAGCAGATGCTGGAATCTGTGCTGAAAACAAAAAAATGCTGGAGATCACAATAGGTCAGCAACATCCATGGGGAGAAAGCAAGCTAACGTTTCGAGTCTAGATGACTCTTCATCAGAGCTGACATGAAGTGTGGAGGGGGCAGCATTTATGCAGTAGTGCAGGTTGGGAGGTGGGGGTAGAATCCTGGGAGAGAAAGGATGTTGATGGTTCAGATTAAATGATTGGAATGTGAGAATCGCAGAACAATGGTGTGTCTAATTGCCAGACTGGAAAGAACAGACAGTCCAAGTGGGATGGGGAGAGAGGAGAGAATACTTGGTAACAGAGAATGTAACAAGTAAACCTAAAAGAAAGGGAAGGAATGGGAGAGAGTTCACAATTTGAACGTGTTGAACTTGATATTAAGTCCAGAAGGCTGTGAAGTGCCTAGTCTGAAGATGAGATGTCATTCCTCCGGTTTGCGCTGTGATTCACTGGAGCACTGTATCATGCCGAGGACAGACACATGGGGAGAAAGCTTGACCCGTTGTGATCTCTAGCATTTTTTATTTTGGAAAATGAAAGCTTTATGACTATTTTTAATCATTGGAACTTTAGCCTATTCATGTTTTTTTCCAGTGCAACTGGGCCAGTCTGCTGTAGAAATGTACCTTTAATTTCTGTAACCATTGACTAGAGACACATAGTTCTATTGTTATACAACTGAGAAGGATAAAGGGGCTTCACGTTTTTGTGTTGCTGTATGGGTATGAAAAGCAATCAAATATGGTAATGGAATATTGGCCTTCAACACAATGAGGAATATAATGTGGAGGAAGTGATGCTTCAGTTGTACAGAATCTTCATCAGACTCCAACAAAGTTCCGAATCCCAGGAAAAATACATTAATTTTGGAAGGGGTACAGTGCATATCGACAAAGGATACTACTATATCTTAAAGGATTAATTCAAAAAGGCAGATTGTATTCACTTGGCTTATAATTCATTGATTTTGATGGGCAACTTATTGGAGGTATTGAAAATAACTAAGGAACTTAAGGGGCAACTTTTTCATGCAGAGGGCAGAGAACGAGCTGTCAGATGAAGTGGTGGATGCTGGTACAATTACAACACTTAAAAGGCATCTGGATGGGTACATGAAAAGGAAGGGTTGAGAGGCAAATGGGCTAAATGCTGGTAAATAGGACTGTGATTAATTTACGATATCTGGTCAGCATAGACAAGTTGGACCGAAGGGTCTTTTTCTGTGCTGTATGACTCTATGACTCTACAGCTTGATATGGTAGATGCAATTAAACCATTTGCTCTAGCATGGAATCCAAAACTAGTTGCCATAATTAGGAAGATTGTTTCCAGCTGGATTAGTGAATTCTAAAACTACATCGCCTTCAAAATGTGAGCAATACTGTTGAATTCATATTTTCAAGTTTGTTTTTGATAGATTGTAGTTAGTTACGTGTATCAAAGGATTGGAATAAAGGCAGATAAGTAGAAATGTGGTACATTTCAACGTAATTTAATAGATTGTTGGAATAAATTCAAGGGGTTGAATTGTCTATTTCCGCTCGTTTCAAAAGTGCAGTACAAACTAAATCCAGATAATAGCTCCAATTAGCAATACAGGTAATTAAATCCAATCATATAAAGCAGCACTTAAAACCAATCTCCTCTACAATTATTGTAGAAGTAATTGGAGGGAAAAAAAAACCAAAATCGATGGAATGGTAGCATTGCACACATTTAACTTAATTCATATAGCCATGATGTGGAGGTACCAGTGTTGGACTGGGTGGACAAAGTCACAAGTCACACGACATCAGGTTATAATCCAACAGGATTATTTGAAATCACAAACTTTTGGAACACTGCTGCTTCCTTCCACTTCACCTGATGAAGGAGCAGCACTCTGAAAGCTTGTGATTTCAACTGAACCTGTTGGACTATAACTTAGTGTCGTATGACTTCTGACTTAATTCAGATAGGGCAAACAAATCAGAACCCATTCTTAAGCTCATTCTTCCAGCACAATAATGTTTCTGTGACAGTAGATAAACCCTTCAACCAATCTCTTGACTTCCAGAATTAGAAATTAAAAAAAAAGAGATGACATCTGTTGAGAGTCTCACAGTTGCTGAAAAATCCATTCATTCTTATGTTGATCATTATCCCTGTAAAACAATGTATATCTGACTTGTCCAAGAGATTTCTTCCTTACCCCAGCATCTTCCCTTCTGGTATGTTCCTCACACTGTTTGCATTCATTTCAGAGGTTGGAAATTACCTGTTCCAAGCTTACACCACTTCTCTTATATCAAACACAAATGGCCACAATCAAAGTCAATTAAGTCTCTTTTGACTTTATTCAACCTTCCCAAATGACAGATAAAAACTGAAACTTGGGAATTGTTCATTTGGACAAGCTGGCTTTGCCTTCTACCACATCAGCTACAGTTCTTCCCTCTCCCAACTTTGCCAGAAATGTTTTATCCTCCTGAAAATATTGATTCTTTGTTCCAGAATCATTGGGCATTCTCCAGTATCTCATTTGAAATATTTATTTGTCACATATTAAGGTTGTCTGCCTATCTGACCTCCCACTGTTATCAAGGCTGAGTCCATTAACCCTCACCCACTCAAAACATAGACACACACACTTCCCAGCAGGTGTCAGTACATACCAAGCATGGATTCAGACAGTTTTTCCCACCGATGCAAACTGCTGCACTCCTAATGCCTTGTCGACTAAGATCAGTAACACTGCACAAAATGGGGAATGAAACTGAAGCCATACCACCTTTGGCCTTTATGAAGGCAATCAAGAGACCCCTCCTTAGTTTGTATGATTCAACAATAAAAATCTATTACAGACCTGAGTCGGAAAAACAGTTTCTAAGAAGCCCTGGAACTAATTTGAAGGCTCTGTACTTCATTCTGTTTTCAATAATGACACACAGACAGGAATTGCAGCACCTTGTATATGGATTTAATATGGGTGGATTTTCCTGTGTCATTTTATTGAATCAAATGAAAGACTGCAGCTACCAACAGTTAACTTTCATTGTTGGCATGTTCAAATAATTAATCAAAAATGTTTTGTGCATCTAATGCATTTCTAAAAATAACATTCAGTATAATATAGTCACTTATACACTTTTAGAATTGACAATGAATACCATTTGTTCATGGAGAAGGCTGTCATTATTCTCTCCCTTCTTTGAAAGATTAAGAAAAATCAATTGACAACAATTTTAACACCTTTCCATGATAACGTTTCCACCTTTATAATTTACGTCCTTCAGTCTCGAGAATAGCATATCATACTAATAATGCTATCCCTGAATAGTGCAGCTTGAAGCAAGTTCCCAACAGGAACACAGGTTGTGTGAGAGGGAACTACCAGTGCTGTCATGATTTACTCAGCCACATTCTGTTCCAAAGTGCCTTCCTGCTGGGAGTGCAGTAGTGCTGAGATTACCCTGAGGAAAGCCTACCCCACATGTCAAGGAAAGTAAAAATGTTCAGCAGAAAGTTAGCCTGGTTAGCCTAAATGTCCTCTTGTGGCTGGTCACCGAGTTATATAGCAGAAGCTAGGCAATCAGCCACCAATTGCTCACAACTGTGGATGAATGGGAGGGCAAAGATTTATAGGAATGGAAAAACTGTGGAGGACGGGTAGAAAAAATACACATTTTTGTCTTAATCCTAATATTCCACATAAAAGTATGGTCAACTTGTTTAAAAAAAAAGTAAATAAGCTGAAATGACCCGCATTATTTCTAAGAATACAACTGCACTGAACAATGGTAGAATTATTAATCAAGCTGGAACAAACAACGTTGACTGCTCCTTTCCTCCAGATGCTGCCTGGCCTGCTGTGTTCTTCCAATCTCTTGTTTGTCTACCTTGGATTCCAGCATCTGCAGTTTTTTTGTCTGGAACAAATAAAAGCAGCTTTCCATCCACACACTTACAGTCACACACCTGCACATTCACATGCACACACAAACACACAGCTGGATTTTGCAACCACAAATCAGGCAGACCACCAACCACCCATTGCTACGTGAACGTAAAATGTTTTGATGTTTTGTTGGAAACATGACATCATCACACCAGTCTCTGAAATTACAGAAGCCAAGCGGACATGCAAATCAGCGGCCTGACTGCGTAATTCCTAATTAACAAGATTTTGAGCTTGGGTTGGGTGTTTATGGCATTAGATGCAGTGACACAAGGGTAGAAGAAATAGTCCTGACAATGGGTCCATGCTTCAATGTAACAGCAGATTATTCCAGGGAGGGTGGCGGCATCTGCATGTGATTTTAAAAAAAAATCATCTTAGATATGTTTTGGGCCGACAATAAACAAAGGACTGTAGCTGTGACTGACTTCCTGTTTGCAGCATTACCCTCTGCCAGAAAGACAATAAGTGGCCATCTGGTTCTTGGTTGGATAGACTGAAATGGAGAGAGCAGAGAAAGGAGTGAGCAGATCACTCATTTTCTATTTTGCCTTCCTCATCCTGCCAAAAACATAAGATCCAGGTAATATATGCATTCACACTCGCACAAATACATAGATAGAGACTGCACACAGACAAACACAATTATACAATGAACACACATTTCCACAGACATTCAATAGGATACACTCGCTGAGAAATACATACAAACATTGACCATAAATATATGGAACACCATGAAGCATTAAAGATACTGTGCATTTTAAAGCATGGCAGTTGCTAGGCTGCAGTACGATTTAATCAAACATTTACATCCATAGTGCCCCAGAAACCTGCAGGATCTGTGAAGTATGCTTTCATTTCCATTCAACTTTGTTCTCCATTCCTTTCTTTTTTTTACTGTGCATTGAATGGAAAGCTGTTAAATCTCAAGTTCAAACTGGAAGGAGCTGACTTTCCATTGGTTAACGTCACAGTTGAGCATAGTACGCTCTGTGAAGGTTACGTGACCTTTTGCATCAACGAGGATGACTGTGTTTGTCCTGACAATGAAATAAATCAAACCTTTCAATGAACTTAAAAGAACTTTGAAGTTAAAAGAGAAACAAAAATATAAAACAGAAAGGGAACAAATGTCACAAAGAAAAACAACATAAAATGGAACGAAGTTCCATCCAATGACCACCGAAGTACTGAGTGCCTTTCTTACTGTAGCAAGTCAAAAAATGTATGAAGGGATGTAGATTAAACAAATGAGTGTTAACACTTTGAGGGCTATGCAGTCCATTAGCTAAAGAAATAAAACTACAACAGCTTTCTCATTCACTAAAGCTGTAGCCATCGAAATACTTGATGGTTTCATGGTTTCTTCTTTACATTTAGTTTGTTATTCATCTTGAACCAACCACAGGAATTGGGGTTGTACACTTTACAGGATGGTAGATTTTCAATAGAACTTGTAAAAGATAATCCCTAAAAGTTTGATTATTGAGATATTCAGTTGAGTATTCAGCAGGCCAACAGCACAGAACCTGCTGGGCAGAATGCAACACTCAAATCAAATGAGGAAGCAGTAAAAGATTTGTATGCATATACTCTTAGGCAGTCTCATTCAGCCCACCATCTCTCCGTAATAACTGACAGCGTGCAGGTTGTCTATGCCTACACCTTCAGCTCTGTTTCCTTGATTCCATGAAAACTGTGTGTGTGTGTGGCGCGCGCATATTGCGCACATACACTCTATTACTTTCCGAGTACAATGTCTCAAAAGTAAATTGCAATCTTCTAGGGGAACCGAGGGTACCAGCTGGTTGAAAGAGTTCAATCTGATGGTTCTTCTTTAATCGAAAAACACTGTGCTATGGTACGGATGTATTATTATTTAGCTTTTATACCACTGGTGAAACAGAATAATGCTGACTCCAACTCAATATGAGAAACTTACCGGGTGCCATAAAAGGAAGTGCGGACAAACAATGCTGAAATCTCCTTTAGTATCGGCCGAATGAAATCTTGACCCTGCTCCTCTATGTCAGGAGCTGGCAACTGGCTGGTACAAAAATGATAAAAATCTGTTATCAAACAGTGCAACACCTAATTATGTTGTCAATCTGCTTGGATTTGCTTAGAATCATCTGGCATAAATCAATAGTTTTTTTTTCCTCAAACTTTACCACAATGAGATGTTCCATCTTTAAGACCTAATTAAGTAATCTTTTGACTGGGCAAGAATTCCTGATGCAGCATGGCACTGTACTGCACTCCCAAAGAGCCTTAGTTTGAGTTGCATTCTTGACTAGCATCTAACTCAAAAGTGCTCATCAACTGAAAATCAGTGCTGAGAATGTAGATGGAATAATATAATAAAAGTGAGCAAAAAACTTAAAAATAGTCATAATGCTGGCAAATGTCAGATCAGTAGAACTCATCCTCAGATATTTAAAAGATTTGTAAATATGTTGGTTTAACACCAGTGTTATATTCTTTATTTTACATGAATTGACAGCATGAAAACAGTGCACACAAAAAAGCAATACCAGTGCATTTCTACTTTAATTTCATTGAGTGAACTTCTGTTGTGCACTTTTTAAACTTTGGAGATCACAATACTATTTATCTAAGTGATGACTTAACAATGTGCTGGAAGTCAGAAACCAACAGCATTTAAATGTTAACACAGCGTGGAGCTGGAGGAACACAGCAGGCCAGGCAGCATCAGAGGAGCAGGAAAGTTGACATTTCGGGTCCGAAGTGTCCCAACCTGAAACGTCAGCTTTCCTGCTCCTCTGATGCTGCCTGGCCTGCTGTGTTCCTCCAGCTCCACACCATGTTATCTCTGACTCCAGTATTGGCAGTTCTTACTTTTTCTGAACATTTAAATGTTAGTCTAGATTATATAGGTCCATGTTCTGGAATAAGGTTTAAAATTATAATCTTGGAACTGGAAGTGAAAAGGTGGAGAAATTTAGGGAAGAAGAGAGCAACCTTACTCAGATTCAAAGGAAAGGCTCTCATCTAGATTCCAAAACAAAACTAAATAGTAAGGGGGTGGGTTCAGTTACATGGAAAATTATGGAAACATTTAAAGGGGCAACGGTTCAGCAGCGGTTGTTAAAGTTTCCAGAACAAGTAATAGGCTCAGGAATCTAACTTCAGACACAGCAGATGAGGGGGGCAACTATGAGAAGGGGGGCAGTCAATACAGAACTGAGGGTGTTGTACTTGAAGGCACATAGTCTATCAAACAAGGCAAATGAGCACAGATTGAAATTGACAGGTACGACGTTGTGGGTCTTACAGAGATGTGGCTGCAAGGGGATTAGGTCTGGGAACTAGATATCCAAGGACACATCCTATCAAAGTGACAGGCAGATGGGCAGAGGTGATGGGGTTGCCTTGTTAGTAAGAAATAAAATTAAATTGATAGTAAGAAGTGATCTAGAGTCCAAAAATGTAGAATCTGTGTGGGTAGAGTTGAGGAACCACAAAGGAAAAAAAGACCCTAAAGAAAATAAATCAGGAGATATAAAAGGTACGTAAGAAAGGCACTATTACAATCATCAAAGGGGTCTTCAATATGAGGAGGTCTGGGAAAACCAGGTTGGTAGAGGATCTCAAGAAAAGGAATTTGTGAAATGTCTATGAGATGGTTTTTGGAGCAGCTTGTGGTGAAGCCTACTAGGCAATTATGGATTTGTTGATGTGTAATGAGGCAGACATGATTAGGGAAAAGTGACCATAATACGATAGGATTCATCCTGCAATCTGAGAGGGACAAGCTGGAATCAGATGTAATGGTATTACAATAGGCATGAGGGAGGAGCTGGCCAGAAGTGATTGGAAGGGGAACCTAACTGGAAAGACAGTGAAGCAGCAATGGCAGGGGTTCCTGGAGGTAATTCAGGAGGCATAGTTGAAATTCATCGCAAGGAAGATGAAACATATTAAGGGAAGACAAGGCAACCATGGCTGACAAGGGAAGTCATGTATAGATAGCATAAACGCAAAAGAAAAAGCATACAATGTGGTGAAGATTAGTAAGAAGCCTGAGGATTGGGAAGCCTTTAAAAACCCAGCAAACGATAACTAAAGAAGCAATAGTGGGGAGAAGATGAAATAGGAGAGTAAGCTAGCTAGTGTTATAAAAGAAGATTGCAAGTATTTTTTAGGTATCTAAAAAGTAAGACAGAGGAAATAATGGACATTGGACTGTTGGAAAATGACGCTGGAGAAGTAGTAATCCAGCTTCGTCAAGGGGAAGTCATGCTTGACAAATCTGTTAGAGCTCGCTGAGGAAGTAACGAGCAAGTTAAACAAAGGAGAGCAAGTGGACGTAATGTATTTGGATTTCCAGAAGGCTTTGGACAAGGTGTTGCAAAGAAAGCTACTAAATAAGATAAGAGCCCATGGTGTTAGGGGCAAGGTACTGGCATGAATAGAAGATTGGCTGACTGGCAGAAATAAGGAATAGGGATTTAAAAAAAGGAGTCTTTTTCAGGATGGCAGCTGATGACTTGTGGAGTTCTGCAGGAGTGTCGGGACTACAACTGCTCACATTGAACTTTAACAATCTGGAAAAAGGAGCTGAGGGCATTGTTGTTAAGTTTGCAGATGACACAAAGATAGGTGGAGGGGCAGGTGGTGTTGAGGAAGTGGGAAGGCTGTAGAGGACTTGGACAGGCTAGGAAACTGGGCAAAGAAGTGGCAGATGGAATATAATGTAGGAAAGTGTGAAGTTATGCATTTTCGCAGGAAGAATAGAGGAGTAGACCATTTTCTGAGAGGGGAAAGGTGAAATATAAAGTAGGAAAGTGCGAGGCTATGCACTTTGGCTGGAAGAATAGAGGCTTGGAATATTGTCTAAAATATTTATTTTAGATATAATATTTCTAAAATATTTCTAAAAGGGGAAAGGTTTTGGAAAGCTGAAGCACAAAAGGGTTCTCTTAAGGTTGACATGGAAATTCAATTGCAAGTTAGGAAGGCAAATGCAATGTTAGCATTCATTTCAAGAAGGCTAGAATACAAGAGCAGAAATGTACTGCTGAGGTTGTATAAGGCTTTGGTCAGACCACATGTGGAATATTGTGAGCAGTTTTGGGCACCATGTCTACGAATGTGCTCGCATTGCAGGGATCCTGAGGATGATCCTGGGGATGAAGGGCTTGTCCTATGAGCAGTGGTTAAGGACTCTGGGTCAATACCTCCTGGTGTTTAGAAGAATGAGGGGTGATCTGATTGAAACTTACAGAATACTGAGAGGCCTGGATACAGTAGATGTGGAGATGATATTTCCACTCATAGGAGAGACTCGGACCTGAGGGCACAGCCTTGGAGTAAAGGGATGACCTTTCACAACTGAGACGAGGAGGAATTTCTTTAGCCATAGTGTGGTTAATTTGTGGAATTCATTTCTGCAGAGGGCTGCCAAGGCCAAGTTGTTAAGACAGAGATAGATTAGTTCTTGTTTGGTAAAGGGATCAAGGTTTGCAGGGAGAAGGCAGGAGAATGCAGTTGAAAAACAGATCAGCCATGATCGAATGATACAGCAGACTCAATGGGCCCACAGCCAATTGTGCTGCTATATCTTATGGTCTTATCATTGTTGGAAAGAATTTTACACGTGTCAATAACTCTCATGTACCTCACCCAGATGATGACTGTTCCATTGGACAGCCTTATCCATGATCACTATTCTGTGACAGAGATCAACACAGCTGAGTCTAATTCTGGTCAGCCCCGATGGTCACATGCATTTTTCAGACACCAATGAAAATACAATCAGATGGGGAAGCAATGACTGATGTTTCTGTTTACAGGCCATGTGTGCTAAGGCTAGTTTTGAAGCCCTTTTGTTGTGCTAGCTTACAACTCATAGTCAAAGTTAAGTCTTCTAGTCTCTTTTATTTCAAACCATTAATGGCAGTGCCGTATCAAGCCAGCCATTTGAGCAGTTACTTTTTCACTTCTGATATTTACATATCTAAACCAGTTTTAAGACAAACATTGCCATTAGTACTTACAACTCCTCATTGTTCAACACATTGATGAGTTCTTGTACCAAATTCTCTTGCGAAAGTTCATTGCTTTGTTTAATTGTATCTGTGAAAAGTTTTTTTCCATGAACAAGTTTTTTCCATGGAGTCTCAAGAAGGCTGTTCGAAAGCCCATAAATACCTAGAGGTATTAAAAGAAAAGTAACAATGAAAAAGATTCCATGAATCTGACTGAATACAGAAGCTTTGGGTATCACCAAAGACCCTTTGCTGACTCAAACAGAAAGTCAACGTTCCTGACAGCTACGCTTCTCAAGATCCTGGAACCAGTCATGACTGAGTTACTGGTCCCGCCAATGAAACCAGTAACAGAAATGTGACTTGATCAGTGCAACAATACTTTTGATAGTCAGCATGGCTTTGTCAGAGGGAGGTCATGCGTCACAAATCTAATGGAAATTTGAGGAGGTGACCAAGCGCCTGGATAAAGGTGGGACAGTTGATGCAATTCATGTGGACAAGATCCCAAAACTGATAAAGAAGGCAGAAGCTCAATGGATCCAGGGTAACTTAACAAGTTGGATCCAAATTTGGCTCAGTGACAGAAGTCATGGGTTGTGGTAGAATGCTGTTTGTGTGACTGGAGCCTGGTGAGCAGTGGTATACCACAGGGATCAGTGCTGGGTTCCTTATTGTTTGTGATATTCATAAATGATGTATATGAGAATGTGGTAGGGGATAAGTAAGTTTGCCGATGACACAGAGGCTGGGCAGTTGTCAGTGAGGAAAAAGGCACTAGATTACAGGCAGATACAAATGGATTGGTCAGATGGGCAGATCAGTGGCAGATGGAATTTAACCCTGATAAATGTGTGGTGGTGCCCTTTAGAAGAAAGAACAAGATAAAGAGAGTACTCAATGAACGGCAGACACTAGGAAGCTTGGAGGAACAGAGGGATCATGGGGTGCTTGCCCACAGATCCCTGAAGGTGGCAGGGCTGGTTAATTGTGTAGTTAAGAAGACATATGAGACGCTTGACTTTACCGTTTGTGGCTAGATTATAAGAGCAGGGATGTCATGATGCAGTTGTACAGAAGTTTGGTTAGACCACAGCTGGAGTACTGTGTGCAGTTCTAATCACCTCAGTGTTGAAAGGATATGATTGTACTGGACGGACTGCAAAGGAGATTCACCAGGATGTTGCTGGGATGGAGCATTTTAGCTAGATGACGGGTTTGATAAGCTCAGGTTGTCTTCTTTGGATTGGAGAAGGTTTGGGGGTAAGCTGATCGAGGGGTATAGGATTATAACGGACATGGGCAGGGTGAATAGAAAGCAGCAGTTCCCTCCTTAGTCAAAGGGTCAATACGAAGGAGCATCATTTTAAAGTGAAAGGCAGGAGGTTTAGAGGAGAATTTATGAAATACTTTTTCACCCAGAGCTTGGTGGGTGTCTGAACTGCACTGTCTAGGGGTGTGCTTGAGGCAGAAAACCTCACAACCTTTCAATAGGTACTTGGATGAGCACTTGAAGAGTAAAAATTCAAGACTATTGGTCTAGTGTGAGAAAGTGGGACTAGGTGGTAGTATATACAGATGCGATACCCAAGAGTCTCTTCTGTACTGTATGTTTCTATGATTCACAGTTACCAGGTCACCAAGTAGAATAGGTCACCTCTACATTATCAGCAAACGGCACTAGCACGGAAGATTTTGGTGAGTTAATTTTCAATGTAGGATTTGGATCCTGACAGCCAGATTAGTTCCAGGTTCTGCTCTATGCCTTTATTGCTATAATGATGCAATACCTAAATCTTAATCTTCCAATTAGTCTGGAGGTGAGTTTGATGCCTAACTAGTAGTGTTGAGCTTTGGAACAGAACAGAAAATGCCTGTTGCAGCAGGTGCATCAAAAAAAAAAGGGGTTCTCTTGCTGCCTTGCACAAAAGAGGAAGCAGAACTTTGGAGGGTCAGAAGCCTTAAGGCTCACAGAAGTGGTAAAAGGGCTAGCCAAACGGCATTGTGTCTCATTGGGAAATCCCTGCAGGGAAAAAAATTGCCTGAGTTAAAAAATCTTTGCAGTTCCCTGCATTGAACCTGGCACAGGTATGTGTTAATATCCAACAGAGTGCTTGGGTTTGGAGACTTATGGCACTCTCTGGCCCATTAACAAATCCTAAAGGAGCTTACTGGGCAGCTTATCAGAGACAAATGAATTCCTGATACCCCATCTTTATGCTACCTTCCAAAATTGTATATAATACCAGAAATGTTAGAGTCATAAAGTCATTGAGTACAGAAACAGACCTTTCAGCCAACTTGTCAGTGCTGACCAGTTTTCCTAAACTGAACTAGTCCAATTTGCCTGTGTTTGGCCCATGTCCCTCTAAATCTATCCTATCCATGTACCTGTCCAAATATCTTTCAATGTTATAATTGTACTAACCTCTACCACTTCCTTTTGCAGCTAGTTCCACATACGTACCACCCTCTGTTGAAAAAGTTGCTCCTCAGGTCCCTTTTAAATCTTTCCTCTCTCACCTGAATCCGATGCCCTCCAGTTTTGGACTCCCCTACCTTGCGGAAAAGACCTTGGCTATTCACCATATCTATGCCCCTCATGATTTTATAAACCTCTATAAGGTCACCCCTCAGCCTCCTACTTTTTAAGGGAAAAAAGTCCCAGCCTATCCAGCCTCACCTTATAACTGGAGTCCCCCAATCTTGGTAAAATCCCTGTAAATGTTTTTTGTGCTCTTCCCACTTAATAACATCCTTCTTATAGCAGGGCGACTAGAATTGTAAGCAGTTCTCCAAATGTGGCCTTACCAAAGTCTTGTACAGACGTAACATGACGTCTCAACTCCTGTACTCAATGCTTTGACTGATGAAGGCAACCATGCCTGCTGCCTGCTTCACTACACTATCTACCTGTGGTACCACTTTCAAGGAACTATGTACCTGCACCCCAGATCTCTTTGTTTGACAACCCTCCGCCCCCAGGGCCCTACCATTAATAGTGCAAGTCCTGCCCTAGTTTGTCTCACAAAAATGCAACACTTGCATTTATCTAAATTAAACTCCATTTGCCATTACTTGGCCCATTGGTGCTGTTGATCAAGATCCTGTTCTAGTCTTACATAACATTATTCACTGTCCACTATAACACCAATTTTGGTGTCATCCGCAAGATTACTAACCATGCTTCCTATACTCTCATCCAAATTATTCAATTAAATGAAAAACAACAGTGGACTCAGCACCAATCGTCACAACACTCCACTGGTCACAGGCTTCCAGACTAAGCAACAACTCTTTATTACTCCCCTCTGTCTTCTACCATTTAGCCAATTTTGTATCCAATTGTCTATCTCTCCCTGGATCTCATGTAATCTAATTTTACTAACCAGTCTACCATGTGGAACCTTATCGAATGCCTTGCTGAAATCCATCAATACAATGTCCACTGCTCTACCTTCATCTATCTTCTTGGTCATCTCTTCAAAAAACTCAATCAAGTTTGTGAAGCACAATTTCGCACGCACAAAGCCATACTGACTATCCTTAATTAATCTTTTCCTTTCCAAATGCATGTAGAATATATAATGTTGACATGACACCCTCCAGAAATGTAATTTTGACACGTGCCTGCACCCATACTTAGCCCTCCTCCAAATAAGCATTTAGCCTCTTGATTCATCCATCTCTGGTCATTATGGCACAGACCCTTCATAAAATGTACTGAAATATACAAGACCTACACAAGTATTAAAATAATCTCCATGTTTTCTGCAGTTTAAAACTTTGTGGGTAACTGCAGTTGTCTGGTATCTTACACAAATCTCAACCCTTAGTGCATTGAATATAGACCGTGTCCAAGAGACTACTGACCTTGAGGAACATTATAAACAAGTCACTTTTCTTCAAATATCTTGATGAATCTACTTTCCAATGATGCTTTCAGGGGCATGAACTTTGATGATCATTTATCCACTCCAGCTCAAAAGTGATGAGATTAATTACATTAAAACTACCATTAGTCCAGACATATTAGCAACATCGCCACAGACTATAGATCAGAATCAGGGCATTACTGGAACATCAGTTTCAAAAATCACATGGCACAGAAGTGTTTAGAGGGTAACTTTTTGGTACAGGGTACTCCAGAACAGGATGACAGTCTTGAATAGATCAGCTGTCACTGGCAATCTTGTCCGAAGCTGGCTTTCAGTTTTAATTTGTGTATACAAGTGCTGCTGTTTTGATAACTTGTACATGAAGCTCTATGGTGTGGGTCAGAATGACAGCCAGCTTCTGCCAAGTACTAACGTTTTAGTTAGATGTATAATTGGAGAGAAAATTCCAATACTTTTGTAAGATTTGAAATTGTGCAGATTTCAGAGAGGAGAAATGTAATTCTGAAAGGATCAATTTCTGCATTTTGTACCTGCTCATGCCCACCATGTAAGAAAGTTAATTTTATAAACAAATTCAAAACCTCAAACCTGGTTCCAGTGTTTTGGGCTCCTGGCCACTTTTATTTCCATAGTAACACATCGTATCTCCTTTGGTATTACTGTAAGAAAATATGATTAGTCTAAGATCTTGCTTTGCTGAGGGTTTAAGATAACAATACACAACTTAAAAGGATGTCTCCTTTTCCAGTGCACCATGGCAGACCTACTGCCAAGCCCACCTCCACACCTGGCAGCCTCTGTACTTATTCTGGGATTTCTTGGCTCAACTTGCAGGGAACTTTACCATACTTTCCCAGGTCAGGTTTGTGGAGCTGGGAAATACCCTGACTCTGCACCCCTGACCTGGGGTCAGACTCAGCTGACAAGCATTTTTTCATGCTTCTAGCATTAACTGCCAAGCCAGGAAAAAAAATTTACTTCCCATGAGAAGCTTTTCTTTTGACATTTACTCAGGTAGGTACATTGAGTGGTGAAGTGTTACAAGTCACAACAAAGTTAGATGAAAAGTGCAACATTCGTAATGACCAGAATTCATATTAAAATTTGTCTTTTAAATACAAGCTGGATTATAAGAAAGGTAGGAACCTATAACTATCAGAAGAAATGTAGATTCATAGATATTAACCATTAGAACCACTTAAAAAAAAGGGGGTTTCACAGAGTACTGTTGGAGCAAGTGGATGCCCATGTAGCTCAAAGAGCCTGCTCCATTAGTCAACAAGATCATAACTCATCTGGTTGTGGTGTCAGTTCCACTTTCCTGACTGGCCTCCATAACTTGGACTTCCTCATCTGTCAAGAATATATCTAACTCATCCTTGAATAAATTTAAAGACCCAGCCTCCATTATCTTCTGGGGATGAGAACTGCGCACTCTAATGACACTGAGAGAAAACAAAATCCTCTAATCTCGGACATAAAAGGGGTCCTGTTATTCTTAAACTCTGCCTCCTAGTTTCAATCTCCTCTAAAAGATGAGCACCTCCTGGCACTCTCCCTATCAAGTCCGCTCAGGATCTTATATTTTTCATTAAGACTGCTTCTTATTCTTCTAAACTCCAGAGGATACAGGCCTAACCTCTGCAACCTTTATTTATAAGATAAACTCTTCATCCTAGGAAAGAGGTGAGTGAAACTTCTCCAAACTGCTTCTAAAGTAAGTATTTATTTTCTCAAATAAGGAGGCCAAAAATGTATACCGTACTCTGGATTTTGACCTAGTGACAGCAAAGGAAGGACAATATATTTCCAAGTCAGGATGGGACAGGGTTAGAAGGGGAACTTGCAGGTGGTGGTGTTTCAGGCTGTGGCCTAACCAAAGTTCTGGACAGCTCCAACGCGACCTCCTTGTTCTTATAATCTATACCATGACTGATAAAGGCAAGAAATTAAAACAGACACAGAATACCTTTTCCAATCTTCCATTTTTTTGTTTTACATTATCAATATCTCAGGCTCACTCTTTAGAGATCAATGCTGACTTTGGTTACTTTTTTTCCTATTCAATTGCAGGATCAATTATATTTGTAGTCTTTTTATCTTCTGCTGTTCTAATATTTTTACTCTGTTTGCTCTTCTTCTGTGAAGTCTTCCCCTCTAGCCCCATTCTTGGAGACCAATTATTCAATTGTTAAGGTCCATGAGAAATATCCTTCCTCTTCTTTGCGCTGCCCACACTGAATCTTGTGTGCGTGCCTTCTCATTTAAACATGCTGATTGGTACACCAAGGAAGTAGCATGAAGAATCTATCAGTTTCTTCACAAAAGATGGAATAATATTTAATATTTTTTTATTTGAATTATCACTCATGATGCAGAATTGGAAATCTATCGCTGTTCCTTCAGGGTCACTGGATCAAATCCTGGAATTCCATCCATAAGGGGTATTGTGGATCTACCTACAGAAAATTGACTTCAGCAGTTCAAGAAGGCAGCTTGTCACCGCCTTCTCACCACCTTCTTAAGGGCAACTAGGCATGGCCAATAAGTGTTGGCCCAAACAGGGATGCCCATGAATGAAAAAAAACTCAGAAGGGAAAAACAGTAAAACTCGCGAATGAACACAGACTGGTCCAACTTTTCTTGTAAACTTCAAAATGGAGGACCAGTGCATCCATTTCCAAATATTATTCATTTTTCACCAGTTTTCCCTTTGGGAATTACAAACAGATAGATGTTCCTTACTTTAACTTAACTGAAACTTAAGGAATTACACATCTAAAATCATGACATGCTCAGGTGACATTGTAGCTGTATAACAGTGCTTCAGTTATGCCCGTGAAAGCGCAAATTGCTTTGTATAATTCACTGAGTAATCTATGTTCTTTAAATGTTGGTCTATTGCACATTTCTGATTTTAATTGCTCTTAACTACCTAGGCCCTAAGTTCTGACATTCCATCCCTTTAAGATGATCCTCAAAAGCTACCTGTTTGAGTGAGCTCTGAGTTTCAGATTGCTTACACCTCTTTATGTGGCTTCGTGCCAAATTTTGTTTGATAATTTCCCTTTGGAATGCCTTGGGACATTTTACGATGGTAATGGCAATTACAAGTTGTTGCTTTGGAAAGCTGAACTACTGTAATGACTTGGGCCTGGCATTACAATGTATGGCTGTTTGTGTCAAAACACAAAGGTCTGCACTGGGAAAAAGTAAAACAAAACAAAGTTCTTTCTGAATAGCTACGTGCTTCTCTGTAATGATTAAAGGGCAGCGTGTCAAATACTGGCATTTTGGAGAAACTTCACTGACAAGTCTAGGGAGTCTTTGCTGTAAATAGTTTCTTGGATGATGAACTTTTCTGTCAGTTCTTTTTGACCTGAACTCCAAGTCACAGAAGAACAATCATTCTAACCTATGCATTCAGTACCAGGAGGTCCCATCTCTAAATTTATTTCAGCTGCTTGGATACAATCTGTTAAGTGGAAGTTATTTGTTGGCCGAAAATCAATGCTGGCCTCAGCTGAATTAAGCCTTTGTTTTTTTTCCTGAGCAGGAACCTCTCTCTGTTTCTGATCAGTATTTCTCAAGTTTATGTTATCTTTCTTTGCAGTTACTACCTCCATTGAAAAATCTAAGGGTGGGTTCCTCAGAGTTGTTTGGGGGGATAGGAGTTGAAAGACTGTTTAGAGTTGTTCCTAAAGAAAAAAAGAAAAGCCCCACTCAAAATATCCATAACAGCCAATCAAGAGCATTCATACAATTATGTTGTCCCAAAATATAAACTTAAGCATTCAAGCTCTGAGAGTTCCACGTGATAGTGATTTTAGTGATGCTTGTGGGAATTTTATCTGCTCCGAATCAATATATTTTTACTTCAGTTTCTCTCCTCTTAAATAGTACCCTCATTCCTAATCTTGGAAACCAATTATTCAATAAATTCTGAAGATGGTTTGTCAGGATATCCTTGGTGATCCTTGTACTGCCTCGCCCTTATGCAGCATCTCATCTCACGGCACATTTGAAAGCACAACGTGGCCTGTGTTTGGGAAAAATGAGCAAGAATAAACAAATGTGTTCTTCAGTCCATGGCACTGCCTGAAAGGTTCCAACAATCTTTACTCTTCATAAGCTGAATACTAGAAACCTTGGAATATCCTAGAGGAGGAGGATATAGAAGGCTCAACACCTCCATTTTTCCACATGATGGACTCCTCTCTAAGAGATCCAGGAAGGAGGAAGGGGCAAAAGAGAACCAAAAATGTTAATTAACTTGTGAATTTTTTACATTTCCTTATGGTTTGAGTTCTACTGTTTTTAATTGAAGAAAATTACAGTTGAAAGGTTTTTTCACACTTTTAAAAAGTTAATTTCATCACCATTTAGACCCAGCAGGAGGGTCTCTAGCAAATACAACTAAGGCTCTGCATCATTACACAGGACCTCCATGAGGGTTCACAACTACAAACTAGGCAAAACCCACTCTGGAACTGTTGCAAAAAACACACCACAGATTGGGAAATTCTGTATAAAATGTCCCTTAATTAATGGTGTCAGAGCAGTCTGGCAGGAAGAGAGTTACACTACTTGATGATTTCTACAGCAATGATAAAATAGATGCATATTTCTTTAAAAAAGGTCAAAGGAAATTCTGTTAAGACTGTATTTTCATATATGAAGTCGGTAACTACTTTTAATCAAAAAGTACAACTTGGCCTTCCTTTTCATATAATTGAACTTTAAAATAAGAGGTCAAGTCCTTTGGTATTTATAGTATAAAAGGCTTCCAGTCTGAGCGATTTCCATTAAACATGAAATCTGAGAATTATGAGGGCTCACCCTTAATTGCCATCTTTTCACAAGAGTGAACTTGAACTTGGGGTGTGGTGGTGAGTAAAATAGTATTCTCTTTGTATTCTTATGGCAAAACATTGAAATTACAGATGGTTCTAAATGAAGCACTTTGAAGCAAATTTTGATATTATGGTGCTCGTTCCATTTTTAACTGAAATAAAGTCACCTCAGAAAATTCCAGCAGTTTTCTTGTTTTGCCAGCTGGAATCAGCAAACGCCAGGGGTGGGGTGCCACTGGCTGAGGTTTCATACTGTACATACATGCAAACTGAGTAATGGAGCAGTAACTAATCATTTCAAATCAAAATTAAACTATCAGATTTCTCTGCTTTAATAATATACAACCATGAAAATGAATGTGCATCAAATCCATAATCGTTGCTTTGAAATCCAGCATTCTGAATGAAATAGTTTCACAGAAGCCGATATCCTGTCATGAAGTCACCCTTTATTTACGTGTGGAAAGCCCTTGACACTAATCCAGCTTCCCCAGAGCCAGCTCTCAGAGTGAACAGAACCTGTGACACTCCTGTATATATCGGTCAGCCAGGGCTCCCTGATTGGACCAGATTAACAGCCCCAATCAGAGAACACATATTCAGGCTAACCTCGTTACAATCACTACACTGATGATAGTGAAAGAAAGATCTGAGAAAATCTTATTGGAGCAAGTTCCTGAAGGCACTTACACAATTGGAAAATATTTCTATAAAAATTCACTAAATTAGTTAAAAATTCAGCAAATTGTTTTCTCTACACATCCCTTTGAATTCATCATTACTAAAAATCAAAAGCAATTCCCTTA